AACGCTGGAATGCGCATGCGCTCAATCAATATCCATACTTTCCTAGTCACTTGAGGCAGCGTTCAGACTTCGGGAAGCGCTTCGGTCACGCGTATGACGCGATCGATGCAGTCGAAACATGTGCATGATTACGTGACAACTAAAACTTTTGGTGGGGGTCCTGCCACGATAGGCCAGAGCGCAGAGCAATAAGGGACTGCTACTGCCAAGGCATCGTGAGGTACAAAAAACACGATGCGAGCCAGGAGATGAGTTTTTTGAGGGGAGGGGACACCGGGGTGGATGAGCCACTTAGTATGCGTGAAAAGTTGGAATGTGAAAGGTCAAAGTGGCCATAAATCGCCATTCAGGCAAGAGAGCGCAGAGAAGAACAGAAAGTTGGCGCCATTAAAGGGATTGAGTTTTAGTTGTTCGTAGACCGTACCGAGACGCAAAACGTTGCCGCAGTATAAACGGAGCCTTGGATTATCGATTAGATAGTCCTCGTATAGAACGGCTTCGGCTTGGAGGGGCATTTTGCAGTTTCGCTAGTTCCTCTTGCAAGAGGAAGGTAACTAACAGACTACCACCTGTAAATTCTTGGGAAACTGCTGAATGTTGCAAATGAACCTTTTCATTCGCAGAAGTTCGTCGCTGCAGGTCTTCACAGGATGTGTACAAGCGTCGGTGACTACCATGTAGAGCCCCCGCCAGGCCGGACTGCGCCTGTAGAAATTACAGAGCTGGATTTGAAGATGCAATCGGCGATCACTCATAAGAGTAGAAGCTCTGTGAGGGGAAGGGTAGTGTGGACGCATTGGGCAACTTCCTACCAGTTTACCGCAAAAGTTGTAAGTTAGTGTCGTTAAGGTGCAGGCTTGCTAGAGCGACTCCGCCCTCATTGGTTCTGTCGTTTTGCTCGCTCACGTGTCTGTCGCTGCCTTTATTTGGTCGTCTGAAATGAAATACCATCGAGACTTCACCTTTCGCGTGTAATGATGGAGCCTGTCGCTTGGAATAAGTATTGCCGTCGAAAACGCTTCAAAAAGGAGAGCCTTATTTGTGGCTTGTCGACGATCTGGACTGTTTTTCCTTATGGACAAGACCACTAGCACACACATTCTCGTTTGCCAACCCGCTGCCTGTGAAGTTTTCGAGGGCATATCGCCAGATGTGCATTCAATCGCCTTTTTATCTGAAAAGTAGCCCAATATTCGGCTCTCTGAGTTTCAATTGAACTACTTAGGTCGACTGAAGCAGTCTATACATTCTTGTTCAAGTCAAGATAGCCGCCTTAGGTAACATTTCCATGGATATCTCCCTCAAAAATATCGATTAGATAAGAAACGTCAGATAGCAGTTAGAATAGGATAGTCTGAAGCAGTGCTAAGCATCTGTGCTCGACGAGTAGTCTAATTTTGGTGACCATTTTTAATAAGCGGGCTTTCTAACGTTGAGGTTCTTCTCTCAATATACTCTCGTTAATGTGTCAACTATTGCATTTCAGAGTATTTTTTTGTGTTGGTCGTGAATATGCAGTGTTGAATGCTTTGTTGTGTCCATCGGAACTCAACTATTTAAGGCGATGTCCGGGACGCCATTGGTTCGTCCAGGAGGTCAACCTCAACTCGATTATGGAGCAGTACTTCCCTCTCAGCCAACGACAACTCGGTAGCTCGTGTTCGCTACTTTATTCAGCATGCTCTTCCTTTTTCTCGTCTTTCATATCAGAAATCTTTGTCCTAACTATCGCGCTAGTGTGTGTTAGCTATTGCTAATGATCTCCTAGGAGTAGTATCAATTATGTTCCGTACACTCATATTTCTTCATAGAAACTCTGGGGTTTCGTAGGGTATTGCGCGGAATTATCAGCTCTTCTACAATCTGTTTAGAACGACTCCGGACTCTGGTTTGGGCGCTGATGACCAAATGAGACATCAGGAACGTCGTGTCCCCCCACCAGGATTCGTGAGTTTTTTCTTGAAGTTTTTTGTTCCGTATAGTTAAGAGAAGCCGCGTAATGGAGGCAACGAATTCTACAATGGTTTATATTAAAGAAATATTTCGTGATTACCGGATGGCTGACACCTCTTGTACACGTAACACCGTCCACAATCTCAGAAAGCGCCTTTTTCACAGCATCGGTGGGGGCGGTGTCAGCAGGGGCAACATGAACCCACAATTGGTAGAGCTGGTTTGCTCTCCTAATGGTGATGGATTAATGATCGTTCACGAGGAAACAACCAGTAATGGAAACACGGCGAAAGGGCCCATTAATCCTTTAAAGCGTCCCGACTGATTGTGACGTCAGCGGTTCTATAGTGAGGACAAGGGGGGCTTTGGTCGTCATAAGCCGAGAGAACGCCACCCATACGGGGTGCTTGATGTGCCAGCTGCCTATCTATAACCCGTCGATTCGTCTTTGAGCTCCACTTCATCTTCTCTCTGGTCTCTCGATTATGAAGCAGCACCACGAGTCCGGGAACGCTCGTCCGGTCCTGGGCCTAAGTTGGGGCTTCTTAGCGGGTTCTCGTTTCTGCTGTTTGGCTAGTTGCATATCTATGCATACTGGTAAACTTAAAGAAGTCTTCAAAAATTTTCGTTAGGCTTTTTTTCAGGCTGATGGTTTCATCACTTTAGGTACTATATTAATTCAGGCTCATCCTCCACCTCAGTACCTTCCACAAGATGGTGCTGTAATGGGACCGCATCATCAACAGGGCCCTGGTGTATTTGGTATGTTCATGTTATAGATTTTTAATGTTTATTTTATGATTTTTTTTTTGTAATGGGAGTAGTAAGTTACGATTATTGTGTTTCGAAATGTAGCTTTTACAGGGCCGTGTGATGGCAACTTTGATAAGGAAAAGGTGCTGTTCCGTCTATTTCAACGTTTTCTTTTCCACCTTTTTATCCCTTCTGAGCTTTTATCCATTTCTGAGGTGCGCTCGAACGATAATTCCAGTTGCAGGTAACCTATGACGGGCCTTCGTCGTTCAGTCGCGGTATGCGATACGAAAACGACTCCGCTATGATGAGCGGCGAACCGATAATGTTCAATCGGGTTGGTTTTGATCTCCATTGTACTTGTGCTAAAAGATGATGGTTTATTTAACATTATATATCTCCTTTATTTGCCTGCTGCCGTTTCGTGAGATATAAGTAGTAGAAATGAGCAATGCTTGTATTTTGGATCGATGCTAACAGCGAATGGATATGTGAGCTCACTTTGGTCATCATATTCCCAGAACGTTCCACTAACTATAATATATGTCTTTCGGATAGCGTAGGCAATGTAGTGCATCGCTTTTTGAGATTGAGTCGTGTGTATAGTCAGGAACACTGAGAATTTCAGTGAGTATTAGGTCTGTTTGATGGCCTGAGGAATCCACTGGTGTCAAGCGTTTTCTCCTCCAAGAAACATGACCTTTTGTTCAAACCAGGAAGTGACGGCTTAGGAAGCAGGAAGTGACGTTATTAGATCACCCCTACACTTCCCGCATTATCCACCAATATACACGGTAGGAAAAAGGGGCAGGGGGAGGGACATTTGCGTCCACCCACGCGTCGGTCCCAGACGGCTCAACTTGTTAAAAGTGTCAAAGTCAAAAACTGTTTCAACAAAAGTGGTCAGCTCCGGAAAATCTATTCTCTACCCTTTTCAGGGCCAACCTATGATGAGTAATCAGAGCCATCAAATGCGCTACGAAGATTCTAACCCGTCGCGAATGATGCACCCGCCGAGTTCGGTATCCAATCACCAAGGAAATCCTTCTGCTGGTGGCAGTTATTCACACGTGGGGTACTATGGTAAGTATATTAATACTTATAAGAGTATCGTGCAAGGCTTACTCATGTATCAATACTGCTACTATAGCTAAATCTTACCTTTTTCAATAAAACCACGTTCTCAGGCATGGGAGGAAACGGTGGAGTAGGTTCGATGGCGCTTCAGCGTCCACCGGTTCCGTCAGCTTATGAGGGAGACATTGTTTCATCTCAACAACAGCTTCATCCTCATCAAATGCAGCAAACGATGTCGCATTACTACTCCCCTAATCAGCCTCCGCCCAACTCGATGAATTATCAACAGGTAAGCCTCTTAACTGTTGCTGTTGACGTGAACACCTTCAGAATCGCCCCGTAGCACAGTATGGACCTAGCGACGTCTTCTACCTTGCACAAAGTACCTAGCTCCCGCGCCAGGATCCTTACTTAGAGATCCTGCCGCGGCGTGGATATTTGGAATGTGTTAGACTACTTGGTCAAATAATGTCCTGTAGATATGAAAGCGCAGAGAAAAAGAGAAAGTTGGCGTAATTGAAGGGATTGAGTTCGAGTTGTCCGTAGACAATCTGGAAAGTGGGGCTTGTAACGTAAGTTGCCCTCACCCTGAGTGCGGAGTCGTGCTTTCTTCGCAACTGTATTGAGACAAGGAATGATAAAGCATGTACCGTCCACGCCGGATATTCCCACAAGACCCCGAATAAAGTGTCTTATTTGGGACATCTTCAGCGGTTCTTTGCTTCCTCTTCAGAGAAGGCCACATTTCCCCTACGGTTGCTTGTGTGAACGCCATAGCTTGGTCTTCATACACTGTGCGTTTAAAGGACAGTTGGCACGATGAATCCCCCAAGAAGACGACGGAATTCCACGACACTGAGCAGGCGCTGCATAGCGGTTTCCCCGAGGAAGGTGCCCTTATAAGGGCCCTATCAAGCCACAACTTTACGTCCCAAACGCCCGCCACGCCCGCCCGCCCACAAATGGACGACCGTTCCTGACGCTCGTATTCATTCATTTGCTAAGCAAATTATGAAGCGAAGGGATTGGTATGAAGCGGCCGTGATGCTGCATGCATACATGGGTACACATATGCAGCCGTATCTTCGGTAGCGGTGATTGGCAAGATGCCTACGGGAAACTCGTCCGAAATCGATTTTCAAGTCACTGAGAACGGAGGCTTTTCTTCGCCGGATTTTGACCGTTTCACTCCGTTCTTTCGCCATTTCAACTATATAGCGCGCTACTAGCGTTTTTGGCTGAGTAGGAAACCATCGTGCCAACTGCCTTTAAGCTGCTCCAAGCATCTGCAGCATCTCATCCCTCCCGTAGCCGTAGATATTGATTGCCCTGTCTTCCGAATTTTGACGAGACTGATTGAATACAATCCCATTTGTATTTGATTCTGGTTATTCATGTAGATCCCCAATAAAGGTTCTCATTTCCCTAAGTTTAGAAGGTTCAGTTTTCGCTGCCTCAATGCCGCTTAAGCGGGGCCAGAATAACCTGCTCCCGAACTTTTTTTCCAAAAGTGCCTCAAAATGGCGAGGACAGCTGCGTTGCCAATTAGCTCGTCTTCCGATGCACGCCTTTTTTAAGACTGAGTCAGTGCCATCGAATGGAAGCTATTCTGGGTTTCTATCGAATTCTCGGGCAAAATGGCACAAGGTTGTTGATTGCGCTGCAACTTGATCAATACATGTACTTACCTCAGTGCCATCTTTCTCTGGACTGCTTTGATTAATGTTGCATTTTTCAAGCAGTAAGGTGCAATATCTTTAGTCTGATATAGCCGGCCGACGTTATTGAATTGCGCTATATTCGTATCAGATCCAACCCGGCAATGGGAATCCCATCTACAATGGACCGCCTATGCAACAAGAACAACAACAGCAGCAGCAACCACCACAACAAATGAACCAACCGCCACAAGCGATGATAACCGTTCAACAACGCGGTGGTGGGCAGTTTATCATGCCTGTACCGCACCCTCAGGTCACTTTCCTTTTTTTGTTTTGATTTTCCAGTTCGAGAAAAATCATTGCAGATGGTGGCTCCGCAGTACATTGGACAACAAGTAGTACCTGCCGGTATGCATTATCCCCCGACAGGGATGTATATGCAGCCGACGGTTCGGCCGGTACGTTGCGTCATTTTTTTTTTTGTTTTTTGCCTGATGTGCGCAGTGAATAGGTCGTTAACAATAATTGTCGTCTCAAGAAAATGACGTCTATGGACGTGCGTCTGTAGTACGTCATTTGGAGTGATACAATGTCTTCGTCATTTGCATTTGTTGTGTGACAGTGCTAATCTCGATTAACCTTGTAAAGAAAAACGTCATTTTTTGAAGATATAGTGGAGACCTGCACTGCACTGCATGTGATCCTTCCCTGAGCGTACTATTTTCATTACTCAGTTAGGTTTTTGCCATACCTGGGAAGGCCAAAAATAAGCTGAAGTACATTCGATTTTGGGCGCAGTTCGGCTTGATGGGGGCACCGAATGTTACTCAGCTAAGCTTGCACTGGCTATCTTATGATGACCTGTGAACTCCTGTGACTAATGTCTCTAACTTGAACGACTTCGCAGCTTCACAGGGCTTTACAGTTCTGACTTAGGTGGACCTATTAGTTAACAAGAACTAAGAAAAGAAACTAGCAAAGTGCAATCCCCCACTCCCAGTTCGAACAGTGCTCGATTTCGATCGTCTCTTGATTTTCACAAGTTATTTATGATTTATTACGACCCTTCTATTACTTAATGTCATAATTCTTGCTTCAGACCGTGTTTGTCCCTCGAGCAGAGGTTGGATATGGTCCTGTGGAACCGTCGCAGCATGTCATGGTTCCTATAACGCCATTTGTTGTTCACCATATGCCTTCGAACCAAGCCTCTTCTGATCAAGGGGCGGCACCATGTTTGTTTTTACTTCAAGTTTTTGCCCTCCTCTTTGACTGTCCTGTGGAACGTCAGATTTTTTTAGACCAACAAGGCGTCGTGGAGCAACAGCCACCAATGTCCATGGAGCACTTCAGTGAATCCGAGTTTGGATCTGGAATAGCACCAGTGCAGGTGTGTCAAAAAGGCGCTTTTTGGCTTGGGAGGGCATTTTGCACTTTCATCTATTCGTTTTGTTATTTCCTGTTAAATTAGCTATCGTACGTGGTGAACCTGTAGATACTTTTCAAGTATAGACGGAGCTGTGCTTTCGCAGGTTAACAGGAGTTTAGTGGCCTCCACAGCATCGGCAAAGTGCGATTAGAATCAGCAAAATGCCCGCACGAAGCCGAACTGAGCGGTGAAAAAGAATGCTTAGATTGTTCGCGGTAGTGGCTATATAGCTCTCATAATAGGCTGCTAGGCTGCTCTATCATGGCGCGTCCGAGATATT